CAGCAGTATATAAAATGAAAAGCGTAAGTGGGGAGAATGCTAGATAACAAGATTTTATTTTTATTTAATAAGACAAAATGCACACCTTTAAGTTGTTCTGACAGTTCAATAGGCATTTTGCAAAACAATGGTGCAAATTGCTTCGAGAGCTCTTAATGTAACTGGAAACGTTTCTAAGGTGAAACCTAGCACAACTTATCTTAACATTAGACAGCAGTTGGATATGTTCCTTGTTTCTGAATTTGGTTTTGATAATGGAAAAAATAGTGCAAACATACAACGACAGGATTACTTAAAGAAAGTTATAATCTGGTTCCCCTCCTCCCTTTCCTGTAATTTTCATGAACAAAAAAGACAATTGCATAACAAGAACCTAAAATAAATTAGAAATAGAAATAAATAATAATTTTATAAGAGCATATGAAATAAATACATTCTGCTGTAGCTGGCAGCTGCTAATCACTCATCTCAACTCTGGTTCTTTTCATTCTGGAACACATAATTATTAAAGGCTTGACTTTAAGCAGGTATATGTGCCATTTTGAGAGTTTTATTTGAAATTTGGTTTGCATTTATAAATAACATGCTGCTTATGGTCTTCATTAACAGTATATTCCATTGCACCGAAACATGTATCTATCCATGGCTTTGATTACTGATTACCGGCAAACAGTATAGATTTTACAGAATCAACTTCTGCCCATTGCATCTGGAAAAAAAAATCTAATTTCACAAAGGATGCTGCTTGTGAATTGATTATGTGCCATCAAATTGGTGTTGTTTCTTAGTGACCATATAGTTAGATTGTCTCCAAGACGATCTGTCCCTAACCTGGTTTTTCAGGTCCAATTTACAAAGTCTGCACTACTATCACTATTAACCTTCTCATCACTCCTTATCACCCATCCATTCCCACTTGTGACTGTATGACTGTAACTTTGTCACTTGTATCCTTACAATTTATATTGACTCTTTCCTAGTATGATTTGATTGCTTATTGTACCCTATGACTATTATTAAATGTTGTACCTTATGACTCTTGACGAATGTATCTATCTTTTATGTACATTGACCAAGACAAATTCCTTGTGTGTCCAATCACACTTGGCCAATAAAGAATTCTATTATATTCTATTCAATGATGCAGCCATTGCTGCTGTAATGGAGACCATCCAGCTTGCTGCTGGTCATCCTCTTCCCTTTTACCTTCTCCAGCATTAGACCCTTCCTTCAGAGAGCTATATCTTCACATCATGTGTCTGAGCATAGCCATCTGTACCTCAAGAGAGAACTTTGGACTAACATCGCAGCATCTAAATATATTTTCTAAGATCACCATTGCTGTTCTACCAAATGCTAGTTTGTGGCGTATTTCTTGACTTGTTTCTTTACTGTAGTTACTTTAGAAATTCTAGAACTAGAAAACCTTGAATTACGCCGTCTTCGGTCTGATCTAAGGATGGTATATAAAATCATACATTGCAATGTCCTACCTGTCAATGAATACTTCAGCTTCAACCATAACAACACAAGAGCACACAATAGATACAAACTCAAGGTTAACCGCACCAAGCTTGATTGCAGGAAATACGACTTCAGCAACAGAGTGATCAATGTCTGGAATACTCTACCCGACTCTGTAGTTTCTTCCCCAAACCCCAAAAACTTTAACCTTAGACTGTCTACTATTGACCTCACCCCTTTCCTAAGAGGTCTCTAGGGGGCCTGCATAAGTGCACCAACGTGCCTACCGTCCCTGTCCTATTGTTTCTTTTATTTTTCTTTTATTTTTCTTATATGTACCCATTTCATATATTCATAACTATATATACACTTATACTTATTATCTTGTAAACAATTGACAAATCAAATAAATAAATAATAAATAAATAGAAAAGCGTAGCACAATGTAGGTTATTGATGTTTCTCTCTCCAATTTTAGAACTGAGCTGATTTTCTTCCAATCCAGCCTCCTTTAAGATCTATATTCAACACATGGATTAAATTAATAGAGGAGAGTATACAGTTTGTCATAGTCATTTGACAACCTGGACCCAGTGTGTTTTGCATGTTCTGTCCATATTGTGATTTCCTGACCTATATGCAGGATTCTCATGAGGAAATGAGAAGTTCTGGAATTTCCATTTTTATAAGTGTGTTCCACAGTTTGATGTGATCAACAAAATGAAAGGCCTATAGTCAATGAAGCACATATAGGTAGTCCTCAGTTAATGACAACAATTGAGACAGGAATTTCCATTATTAAGTGTTGCAGTCATAAAACACAATATCACATAACCGTGCTGCTTAGTGACAGCAATTACAGTACTTCTGGTTGATGTTGTTCAGTGAATCCTGACTTCTTGTTAGACAGGATATGATGTGTCACCATTTGCTACATCCTGCCAGCATCCCTCACTCATTGCCTTTGCTTTCAGAATCCAACAATGAAGGTCACGAATAGTGACAGTAAAGGTGGCACATGACTCTGGGATACTGAAATGTCATAACTGTAAGGCAGTCATTGAATGCCTAGATTGCATTCATGGTTCCTCGGGGACATTGTGATGGCTGGAACTTTGAGGATTGGGTATAACTACCACTAATTCATCATCATCATAAGTTCAAACAGTTGCTGAACGAGTGGTCATTAAGTGAGGACCACTTGCATAACTTCTTTTTTGGTATTCTTTGGCTTTCTCAATTATCCAACATACATTAGCCATAAACTGTTTGTGAATAGCAAGGGACAATATATGTTGGGATAAAACTGTTCTAGAAAAACACTAAGATTATTACTGCTACTATTAATTATTATAATAATAATTATATAATAATTAGTAATAACCTTAGTATTTTTCTAGATCAGTTTTGTCCAAACATATATTGTTTTAAAAATCCATCATAGCCATATAATCTGCAAAAAACCCCACCTTTTGATGATGCCTGCTCGATGCTTTAATTACATAAGTCATACATTTGAGTTCCATGCATCTCCAGATGTTTGGGACAGAAAATTGTGGTTTTCATTTTTGAGAGAAGAAAGAGGGAGCAAAGACTTAGGTTTTACCGATTCTGATAGATAGATGGAACTAAGTGAAGCAGTACCTGCTGATAGCCAAGGATAAGACATCATATTAGTCAGCCAGATCTATTTCTAAAGATTAGATCATTAAATTCTCTCCAGGCAAACATATAGAATGCATTCATCTTGGGTCATAAACTCATTTATCATAACAAGTTTCAGCTCCTGGTTCTGCCTTTATCATTGTTAGTGCATATTTGAACCACTGCTTCATAAATAAATGCCTGTGGTGAAGCAACAGGGGAAAAATTCCACCCATTTACCACTTTGTTAAGTTTGAAGTATCAGAACTCTGGCAAGTATTCTGAAAGTGCCTGGCCATTGACATTAAACTGCCAACATAGCTGTTTTCCATGATTTCTAGCATCACAGCCAGCAGACGCATGGTGCATATTTTTTTTCCCCTGAGAAGCACAACTGTGCCATCTAACTGAACCTGTAAGTATTTCTGAGGTATACGAAGGATTCTTTTCACATGGCATAAATTTCAGTCTGTTTCAAATCTCTGACAATCCAGTTTGAAGCCAACCACAACCATGTTCACTTCTGCCGGCCTTGAAATGCAGAAATCAGCCAGGGAAAACACCATGAGGCATTCAGTTCACTTCTGCTGGCCTTGAAATGCAGAAATCAGCCAGGGAAAACACCATGAGGCATACACTTCTGCCTCAAGCATGAAAACTGGGATTAAATAGCATCCTGTCCCTTGGCAGAATAAAAATCTCATCCTTATGCAACACAAAAGAAAATGGAAAGAAAGTGCTTGCACCCCACTTTTTTTTTTTCAGGTACATGTTTTAGGTGCATTTGACAATTTACAATAAACTTAACTGCTTTGGAGAGAATGAAATTAGCCTGCAGTCAGGACATTGTTACTTCTAGCTATGCTGCTCGAAAGTTGATATATACAAAACAGAGTGGTCTGTTATGGTACATTGTGTTTTTCTCTTAAATTTTCAATGTCTTCTTCTTCTCTCTCTTGAATGGGTCTGTGCAATCCACCCAGTGGTAATTTGCCTATTTCTGTAATTGCATTTTGTGGGAGAGTATCTTCCAGCTATTTTTGGGAAATAGACTCTTCCTTATACCCATAGGTGGGTATGGTGGCATCTTTGCAACTTGATGTTTGTCATAATAGACCCAACCCTAGTTGTGATTTGCGGTTTGCACCTTCTACAAGTATGTTTGGGCGGAGTGGGGGTGGGGTGGGGGGGTGGGGGTGTTGTTTCAGGTGTTTGATGGGAGAGAGACTAAGGGCTCACTTCAGTTTCATTCTTGTTGTTTGTTTAAACAGAAAACCTAGCCAGGATTTTTTTTTGCAGTGATTGTGAAAGTGATTACAAGTGTTAAGAACTCCTTTAGAAATTATAGGAGATACGAAAGCAGCTTTCTTTTTCTCATATTGTGACATTGACTAGGAAGTGAACAAGGATTTAGATTGAGTTGCCTGATAGGTTGTTTAAATTCCTTTCTTAGCATAGTTAAGGAAATGAGTGCTGAGAAATACTTAATTATGGCCAGGAGCTGACAGGTGTTGTGAAAGAAGAGCAAAGTCAGTAAAAAACCAAATTGTTCATGGGCCCTAACATTTAGCAGAAAAAAAGGCTAACTTTGCTGCAGGTTCAGACAAACAAGTGTGGAATTAAAAAAAAACCCTTGAAAGAAGCCAATTTGTCATGGGGATGGTGCATCTTGAGTCAGCCATAGAGGGGTGCAAAGAGAGTATGCAAAGTGAAAATTAGAAATGGGCTTTTTTACTAGATTCATTTTAATTTGGAAGCGGCTGTATGAGAGCATTTGCATTGTTCAGCAGGTTTTGGTCAGTATTCTGCACTTCCCTATCAAAACATTTCTGTCGTGAACATTAATTGGCTACCATGAAGTTTTATAACATAATTCTCCTTTCTTTTCACAGCCTATCCTGGGGACGTCTGGAATTACACAGGGGCCTTCAGATGAGAAAGTAGCTGTGGTGACAGTAGATGACTGTGACACTTCAGTGGCCTTGAAATTTGGCTCTATTCTAGGAAACTATTCCTGTTCAGCTCAAGGGACACAATCAGGCACAAAGAAGTGAGAATTTTACAAGCACTATTAAATTCACCTGATGAGTTTGTAATCATAAGTATGGAATAGAGATGGGTGAAAGCAGATTGACTTTACAGAAGTTATTCAGTGGGGAAATGGCTGTCAGAAAGAAAAGCCGTGGGGCTATAATTAATTTCAGTAATTTCCCTGGCTCAACTTCACCCTATGTGAGAATATGAAGTACTATAGATTTTATTGGTCGTCTGCTTTAATGTGCTGGTTGGTATTCATGCAGATAGGAAGCTAGTAGTTTGACACACTGCGTGGATGCCTACACAGTACGTAAACCTATAGCAACCATGAGAATTAATACTACTATATGTTCCAAAAATACATTTTTTCACTGTTCAGCTATTATTAGTCTCCCTTAACCCAAGTGCCTTCTGGATGAATGAACAGACCTCAGCTCCCAAATACCCCAGTCAATTTGGCTATTGCTGAAAATTCTAAGAAGTGAAGACTACATTCAGGGGAGGACATTTGAGATGGTGATGATATATTCCAGGGATGTCAAACTTGTGGCCTGTAGACTGGATGCATCACGCGCTGGCCATGCCCATGCTCGGTTTAGTAAAGGGGGGAAAAGTTGCGATATGTCATGTGACAACGCCATGATGACGCAAGTTTGACACACCTGTTATATTCCTTAGTCTTCCCCACTATCTTCTGCTGCTGCACTTTTACATCCAGCGATATAGTGATTTACTAAAACCTCAAACGTCTACTATAAACCTCTACTATAAATTGGATTCATAGTGATTCGGAGATCACACGTCTACTCTTTTAATATAATGTGTGACTGATGACCACTTTATATGTGTTTAGGTCAGAACAACTTTCTCAAGCAGATATATTTTTTCCTGGACCATGTTTTTCCCTTGAGTAACTCTAATTTCATTTTACAGATCCTTGGATTTGACAGGTCCCTTATTACTGGGTGGCATTCCTGACCTTCCTGAAAGTTTCCCAGTACGGAATCGGCATTTTATAGGTTGCATGAGAGACTTCCTGATTGATAATCAAGATGTAGACCTGGCTGACTTCATTGCAAATAATGGAACTTTGCCTGGTATGATGAATTCAGGAGGAAATTGAAAGTTGATGCAAATGGTGGGGTTTCTGTGGGTGGAAATTGGTAAACAGACAACCACCTATTGAGAACACCTCAACAGGCCCTAGCCATTGTCTGCCGTATAACATATCCATAGGAATGAATTTCATTCATGACTTAGCTCCTCATTACTCACTAGCAAATTCAGCAAGCGCTTTCCTAATCCCTGGAGAATCTTCTATTCCTATCCTTCCCAATGCATTCTTTCATTCTCCTTTCAGGCTGCTCTGCCAAGAGGAATTTTTGTGATACCAACACATGCCATAATGGTGGAACTTGTGTCAACCAGTGGGATACTTTCACCTGTGAATGCCCCCTGGGTTTTGGAGGCAAGGACTGCAAACAAGGTAAAAGATGGAAGCTGCTAAAGAAGGTGCTTTTTAGGAATGACATATGTGCTAATTGCCAGTGACTATATCAGAAAATCACACCTTTCCTAACTCCAAGGAAACAGAAAATATGCTATTCTAATTATTAGAAGAAATAGAAGAAAAGGTGGGAATGCTAATGCCCTGGAGATTCTTGGATGGAAAGAGAGAGAGAGAGAGGGAGGGAGGGAGGGAGAGAGAGAGAGAGAAAGATTATATATATATATATTAGTGTTTTGGCCACGGAGTTTATCTGTGCTGGGTGGTGGTGGGATTGGGTGTTGAGGTAGCGGTTGGTGTGTGTTTTCTTCTGGTATATGGTGTGTCCTAGTGTGCCATCTGTTTTTTTGTAGATTAGTACATCTAGGAATGGTAGTTGTTTGTTTGTTTCTGTTTGTTTCCATGGTGAACTTGATTTTGGGGTGTGTGCTGTTTAGGTGTGTTAGGAAATGGTTTAAGTTTTCTTTTCCATGGGGCCAAATCACAAATGTGTCATCGATGTATCTTAACCATAGTTTGGGTTTGTGGGTGGCATTAGCCAGGGCTCTGGATTCGAATTCTTCCATGAACAGGTTTGCAATGACGGGTGACAGTGGTGATCCCATAGGGGCTCCTTCAATTTGCTTGTATCTTTGTCCTTTGTATATGAAATATGTGTTGTTTAAGCAGTGTTCTGTTAGTTCCATAATAGTGAAACCATGTCGAAACTTACAAGTAGAGTTTTTTGTTCCATGTGTAGATCTTTGATCATTTCCAAGAGGTGGTATGAGTTTTGTACATGTGAAGCTGCTGCTTCAGCATGGGGCTGTAGCTGCTTTGCTAGGTATTTGGCTAGGTTTTGTAGTGGTGCTCCTCTGGAGATGACTATGGGTCTGAGAGGTATGCCTTCTTTGTGTATTTTGGGGAGGCCATATAGTTTGGGGCATCTGGAAGATTTTTCTCTTGGGATGATCATCTGTTGGATCTCTTTGCTCATGTTGCTGGTTATGATTTTCTTCTTGGTTATTTTTTCAAGATATGTGGTTGGGTCGGTGTTTATGGGTTTGTATGTGGAGTCTTGGAGTAGGTCTGTCAGTTTTGTTTTGTAGTCTTTTCTATCCATTACTACTGTGGCATTACCTTTATCTGCTGGAAATATGATTATGCTACTGTCATTCCTTAGGACTTGCAGGGCTTTTAGTTCCTCTTCGTGTAAATTGCTTTTGGGTGGTTTGCTTGTGCATAGGTTAGTGACTTGGTGTCTTACTCTATCAGCTTCATCTGTATTTAATTTAGTTAGGCTGGATTCCACTCCGCATATGATGGATTCTGTGGGGATTTTTTGGGGTGCTATAGCATAATTGATATATATTCTCTATACATGTGTCTGTGTCTATCTATCTATGGCAGGAGTAGAGAAGCAGTGGTTCAATCTCTTATTTAGGATAGTAGCTCCCATGTGTCTGGTTGGTTATAACAGGAGTGAAAAAAATGTTTGCCCAGATTCAATTGGAATAGCACCACAATGGAAGGGAACGGAATGGTCTTAATGGCCTTGTGGAATGAAAAAAATGGAAAATGCCAAGTATACTTACACATAGAACATGATCCAAGCCATGGAGGCAACCACAAGGAACCTGTTGTCTCACTTATATTCCTTCACTTTACAAGGGTAATTAAAAGTACTCTTAATAAAAGCCTTCCTTGATATTTGGACAGGATGGGCAGAATCAATTCTGACAAGACAGTGCCTGATGTGTCTTGATGGCATACCATGTAATTAATTAACACCTGTAAATTGGACCTAAAAGCCTAATAACACTCAATACAGCATTATTCTGCAACATTGGTCTTGACACCCAACTTCTGAGACATCTCTAAAGGCGGTTCTGCATATAATGCAAGTGGTGATCGGGGTGTGTGGTTCCATTGTAAGGATATCCTGATCCAGGTAGGATCATCATGGTTTCTGCCTCTTATTTGAACAGGAACCACAAGTCCCTAATCATCTCTTTGGGATGGAGCAAAACCCCATTAAAAGTAAACCTTGGAATCAATGTTTCTAGACTGTCTAGGTAGTTATTAACATAAAACCACTCCATTAGCTAATGCTTAACCTGAGTGTGTCTTGCTCCATCCAGGGCTTAGAGCCCAGGTTCAAGACTTCCATGGCATATGTAGGGTGATATATAACTGATTGTCGAACACATGTGGGTGACACCCCATTTAAGCCAATGGATGACCTCTCCCAAGTTTTCATATAAATGTTAAATAATACAGGGAGAGCACAAAGCTCAGTGGTACCACACATTAGAGCGAGAGTGTCAAACTTCCGGCCCATGAGCTGGATGCATCACACACTGGCCACGCCCACAACCAGTTTAGCTGGGGGGGGAATCCCGATACGTCACGTGATGCTGCCATGACAACGTGTTTGACACCCCTGCATTAGAGCAACCAAGGGTTTGAATACTATGCCTGTATAATAGTCCACTAAAACAATTTGCTTAGATAGGAGCGAAACCATAACCTTTGCAAGCAGTCCAAAAGAATACCAAGCTTTATATCAAGGGTCTTCAAACTTGGCAAGTTTAAAACTTGTGGACTTCAGCTCCCAGAATTCCTCCTCCAGTCATGTTACCTCAGGAATTCTGGGAGTTGAAGTCTACAAGTCTTAAACTTGCAAAATTTGAAGACCCCTGCTTTATATTGTTGAATGCCACTTAAAAATCTAATAGAACCAAGAAGAGTACACTCCACCCATCCAGATGTCTAAAATAGCTCATCTGTTAAAGAAGTGTCATTTCTTTTCCATGCCTCAGCCTGAATCCTGACTAGAAAGGATCTGCATAATCCATTTCCCCAAGGATTTTTTGTAATTGGGTCCTCACTTCCTTGTCAGCATCCTTCCACATGTTAATGACTAGAAATGTTGATAATTATAAAGTGAGTTTATTGGTTCTCACATTTTCAGCAATCAAGAAACCAATATCGTAGGCTCTAGCAAGCCAGAAGAAATGGCGTAAACCATCTTACCTCTTCTTGAATCTTGTATAAAAAGTATATACAAAAAGGATGTAAAAATGTTTTCTCTCTCTCCTTTTGTGATGTGTGTACAAATATGTAACACTGTAGAAGGCAATGGCAAGCCAGTTCTATATAGTGGCCAGAAATTATAATATGAATATGAGCTTGTGGTTACCAGAAGGCCCTTCTATTGGAATGGGTTCAAACACATTCATTTTATATCTCCAACATATGCGAGGGTGGGTATGGTCCCTCTTATATCCATTTGCACAGCAAGAAAACGGAGAGAAAGAATAGATCCCCACAAACTTCCCTGTCTAATGCAGGACTACAATACAGAATTCTCTCCTGCTTCTCCATATGGGTACTTAATTTGTAAGGATTTTTTTTAAAAAAATCATCACATCATTGATTAGAACTTGGGTGGAATTGTTGAATACTTCAAGCCTAAAATGCCGAAGGAACACTATATTAAAAAATATTAGTTATTAGTTATTAGTTATCTCACAAAGGCATGATCGAATAAAAGTTTAGTCAAATTTTTCTTTTTTTTTTTTTAATGGCGATACTAGGATTTATAAATTTGTATTGATAAGAGTGTTATATGAAGTGACTGTAATTGTGACTATGAGGTGAATGCACAAAACCGATGGACCAACCGACTTACTGTGTGTACAAAAATATGGGGGAGCTGATACTTTTATGTTTTGTTGTTGTGTTTTTCATGTCAAAAAAAACCAATAAAAATTTATATTAAAAAAAAAAAATATTATGAGTATATAAGAATAGTCCACTGAACTCACACATACACGCTCTGTTATGCAATATTTTATACACTTATTGAACTTCTTTTTTCTCTGTGAAGAAATGACAAGTCCTCAGCGTTTCTTGGGCAGCAGTATGGTGATTTGGAGTAATTTGGCATTGACCATCACGCTTCCATGGCACATTGGACTTATGTTTCGTACCAGGCAGAGCAATGGTATCCTCCTCCGTGCTGCAGCGGGGCAGCATTCTACCATCACACTTTGGGTGAGTGGGCAACACTTTACTGTTCTCTTGCAGATTAGTGGCCTAGAGAAAGGCACTTTGTATTACAACAGAACAAGGCATCTTGCAGCTCATGGGCTAGGAGCAGCCTCCTAGCCAGAGGTGGTATTCAGCAGGTTCTGGAGAACTGGTAGTGGAAATTTTGAGTAGTTTGGAGAACCGGGAAATACCACCTCTGACTGGAGATTTTACAGTATCCTTCCTCTGCCACGCCCACCAAGCCATTCCCAGAGAAATGGTAGTAAAAAAAAATTGAATCCCACCACTGCTCCTAGCATTCTGAAAAATATCCCACAAACATTTATTGATAAAATATGTACTGTATATTCTGCAGCACCATTTCAGAGGATTGGTGGGGGGATTTTAAAATGTGGAGAACGGTCTAGTTTTGCCCCGGAGGTAGTCCAGTTGCAGTGGCCCAAAGGGAGTTATCATCTCCATACCTCTTAAAGGCAAGAACGGAACTGTGTACTTTCTAGCTCTAGGTGGCGGGATTTTAAAATGTGGAGAAGGGTCTAAAACAAGGGTGTCAAACTCGTAGCCTGAGGGCCAGATGCGTCACACACTGGCCACGCCCCATTTTAGCAAAGGAGGGAAAAGTCATGATATGTCACATGATGACAATGCGACGCCGTGAGTTTGACAGCCCTGGTCTAGAATCTAGAGTCTCCTGCTCTATAAAAGAAGTAGAAAGATTGGTGAGATATGGTTTATAGATCCTTTGCATCATCAGAAGCCTCATGACTTTCTTTGATGCTATGTACTTGTTTCATTCTTTTCAAGCCCCCTTTGATGGACAGAGATGGGTAATACCTTCTGCAGTGAAAACATGGTTCAAAACTAAACTCGTTCTGTTCTTCTCTCTTTGCTCAGTTAAATGAAGGCACAGTGCTGATGACCGTGTACCGAGCCAACAGCCAAATTTCAGCACTGAGGCTACACCAGGTGAAAGTGAATGATGGTGACTGGCATCACCTACAATTGGAACTGCATAGCAGCTGGGACAATCCAGAAGCCCAGTGGTTAGCCATAATGGCTTTTGATTACGGTTTGCACCAGGTACAGTGAGCACTAGAACTCAATATCAATGGTCAACTAATGGCTGAATCATTTGGCATTTATGGAGCATCGTTCTGTATATTTTCTAAAGCTTGAATGTAACACTTGTAGCATAATTTAGTCTAGGGGAACTAAAGCTATCTATGGGATAGATTTAAATTGATTCCTAGTAGTCTAATATACTTTATCTCTAATCTCTTAGCTCTTTTTCTACAGATTTTGATTTATAGTTAGTTAATTCTATGAAATTCTTCAGTATCGGTCTACAGCTATCTTAATAATTTATTCCAGCCCACCTCCTCTTGGCTTTCACCACTCTCCTGATGTTTATAACATCTGATCTGTGTTGTGCAAATAAGTACTGTGGTCTCCTCAAGAAATTAAGGGAAAATGATGTTTGCTTTGCCGGTTTATCTTCCAGGTGATGGCCAACATTAGTAGTGAACTTCGTGGACTAAAAATGCGGAATTTGAGTATCGGTGCTGTACTGGGAGAGAAAGGAAACTTGCAGCATGGATTCCGGGGTTGCATGCAGGTGAGAGGGTGAAGAACAAGCCTTGATGGCTCTTTCTGGATGTTAATGCGCCAATGGGCCATACCAACAAGTGCAGGCTCCACCACTTCTTTCAACTCTCCTTTCTTTGATGCTTTTTATATAAATGACCATATGTTTCGGGAAAGGTACGCCCAGTTGATTAGACCACATCACTCTTAAGCAAAGAACCTAACTGACATGCTTAAGAAATTGTGTAACTGGGAGGGATTGTTGTGGAGTATGTACCTGTGTCAGTATAACTCAGCATAGCTGGCTGGAGAATTCTGGGAGTTGAAGTCCACAAGTCTCAAAGTTGCCAAGTTTGGGGACCCCTGGTAAAACTATACATAGAAATAAGTTAGAAATGGTTATGTCTGGAAATCTCCAGCAACCAGAGCTGTGTACTGATGAGTTATCCTTCAGCCTGATTTTGCTGAAAATTGAATGAAGCAGGCATGTTCTTAGGTGCTAAGCCATGTCTACATTATGCAGATCTTAAATGAGCAACAACACATACAGGTAAGTCCTCGACATACGACCACAGCCCAATATTTCTGTTGCTAAGAAAGACATTGGCTAAATGAGTTTTGCCTCATTTTATGACTTTTTGTTGTCATGATTCAGTGGTGGGATTCAAATTTTTTTACTACTGGTTCTGTGGGCGTGGTTCTGTGGGCGTGGCAGGGGAAGGATACTGTAAAATCTCCAGTCAGAGGTGGTCTTTGCCGGTTCTCCAGAACTGGTCAGAACCTGCTGAATACCACCTCTGTCATGATTGTTAAGTAAATCACTGCAGCTGTAACATGGTGTTAAGTGAATATAGTTTCCCCATAGTCTTTGCTTGTCAGAAGGTTCCAAAAGGTGATCACATGACCCCAAGAGACTGCAACTGTCATAAAAATGAGTCAGTTGCCAAGTATCCTAATTTTGACTGTGTGACCATGAGGATGCTACAACGGTTGTAAGTGTGAAGGTCGGAAATCACTTTTTTCAGTTCCATTGTAACTTTGAATGATGAGTAAACGAACTGTTGCAATTTAAGGACCACCTGTAGCATACAATTCACAATTCTATAACAGAATAGAATAGAATTCTTTATTGGCCAAATGTGATTGGACACACAAGGAATTTGTCTTGGTACAAATGCTCTCAGCGTACATAAAAGAAAAGATATATTCGTCAAGAATCATCAGGTACAACATTTAATAATAGGCATGGGATACAAATAAGGAATCAAATCATACTAGGAAACAGTCAATATAAATTGTAAAGATACAAGCAATGAAGTTACAGTCATACAGTCACAAGTGGGAGGCGATGGGTGATAAGGAGTGATGAGAAGATTAAGAGTAATAGTAGTGAAGACTTTGCAATAGTTGGACAGTGTTGAGGGAATTATTTGTTTAGCAGAGTGATGGTATTCGGGGGAAAACTTTCCTTGTGTCTAGTGGTTCTGGTGTGCAGTGCTCTATAGCGGGAAGGAGTTGAAACAGTTTATGTCTGGGATGTGTGGGGTCTGTAAATATTTTCAAAGCCCTCTTTTTGACTTGTGCAGTATACAGGTCATCGATTGAAGAATTTTTTTTTCACTTTTCCCACTTAATATGTAGTCATGCTGGCTCCATATAGCCCATTTTATGAATGTGGACTGAGTATATAGTAGCATCTTCAATTCAATGAAAACTGTATTTATGCAGATCTGTCAAAAAATAAACTGTTTGTTTTAAGCAATACAGCACCATCTAGAGGCTGCCGATCTCATAGTTGGCTTATTTATGGAAAGAGATTTATATTTTGGGTTTGGGGTTCCTAAAAGGCGGTTGGTATAAATAGGTTGTAAACTGTGTTCACTAAGAACCAAAAGCAAGAAATGAATGTGCAAAAGAATAATCTATGTATCTAATAGCTGATCTTCTTCCTTCCATCCTTGTTTTTTTTTTCCGCCCGTTTGGATCTTCCAGGGTGTAAGGATGGGAGAGACATCAGGCAGTGCTATCGCCTTGAATGTAAACCAGGCTGAGAAGGTGAACGTGCAGCATGGCTGCAGTATCCCAGACCCTTGTGACTCCAGTCCCTGTCCTCTCAATAGCTACTGCAATGATGATTGGGATAGTTATTCATGCAGTTGTGATCCAGGTCAGTGGAAAGGACAGTGTGATATAATTGTGTAGAAGACACCACGTTAAGGTTCTTAGGCGGCCTAGAATTACATACCACAAGATGGGTTGCCATATAAATTTAATATATACATATATATATATTTTAAATCATCTAGTACAGCTCTGATGCTTCCTAAGAGTTGGGTGGCCATAGTCCAACATATCTGGAAGGCATCAAGGATTTGCCATGTATGGTCGGTCTGTAGTGGGCTTAACTGTTGTAAATAATATCTGCATTGTACTCAAAGCATTATTTTTAGTCGTGTAATAACTGATTCAGAGCTTAAAATGGTGCTGTTAAAGCTCTGATACAAAGCTTCAATGATTTATTATGATTCATTCTGATTCATCTTAATTTGATGGACAGATACATTATAAATTCACTGTGTTTTTGCCTGTTCTTTCTTACTGCAGTTTATTCGTACAATATATATGGATTTTCTCTGCTGTTTGCTTTAATTTTATGTAGTTTGTTTTTGACAGTTTCCTTAATTAAATAACTAATATACACCAAAATGATTCTTATCTTAGCATAATTATAGAAGTAACAAGAACTATATTTACATAATTTACTGTAGTAATACTTAGGCATTGTACCTGATTAGATTACTATACAAAACTTAACAACTACCAGAAATAATCAATTTTTATTTCATTATTTAATACTTAAGACTGAAGCCAATATTTTTCCTAGGGATTGTGTGTGTATGTGTGTGTGTGTGTGTATGAGCCTGTTTCAGCTTTTCATTGTTTTATTAAAAAGTTAAAATACAAGTAAGTGGTGGAGTAAGCACAAAGTTCTCTATAACAGAGCAGGGCTTTGTTTAGACCAGACTGGATAGGTGCCATGTTGATTTCTATCTTTCCAGCCACCCCTCCCACGCGCAGCCTTTAGCTTGGTGGAGATTGGAGAATTATTATCCCAGAATCTTCTGCTTGGCTGGGCTATCATTTAGTCTCAGGTTGGAGATTATTGCCAGTTATACCCAGAATTCTTCCTCCAGGTTACTATGGAGACAGCTGTGCCAACGTCTGTTCCTTTAACCCCTGTGAGCATCAAGCCATATGTGTCCGCAAACCCAGCTCATCCCATGGCTACACCTGTGAGTGTCCCGACAGCTACTTTGGGCCATACTGCGAGAACAAGTGAGTGTGAAAGTTCACTCACATTTGTTGTGATGTGCCTATAAGTGTGTGTTGGTACTTTTCAGAATTTATAGAACTGAAATGTGGAAATTCTGGGTGCATATTGCAAATATTAATAGAGATTTTAGGCATTTGCATCTGGGTATAAATGTACAAATAAAAGATCAACTTAAAAGTGTGTAACATGAATACACTGTTCATGTATGGGAGACACCTGGATGCAGTGACATTAGCTTGCATATGCAGTGTATGTGCTCTACATAATTAACATACCATGATATGTGTGCATGCCAACCAAGGAGATTACTTCAAATAATATGATTTGCAATACACATCAGTATAGCAAACTTATGGAAACCCAAAAACACATTCCAACATTTCTTTAGTTATTGTCTCTTTACTGAAAGCTTGTAAACTATGAAAGCCTTTATGTACAAAGGGATGCAAGATCTTAGAAAAGGCAATACCATAATTTGTAATGAAGAAGTTACTATAGCCTTCTACTGTATTTGAAAGGTGTTTACAACAGGCCTCGTGTTTTCATTGTTAGGTTAGCTCAGCCCTGTCCACGGGGATGGTGGGGGCATCCTATATGTGGCCCCTGCAACTGTGATGTTGATAAAGGATTTGACCCCGACTGCAACAAAACTAATGGAGAGTGCCACTGCAAGGTGAGCTTTGGATTTATCTAGTTAAGAGTAGAAACTTACAATCTGGAGTTAAAGAATCATCAAAGAGGATGCAGAATGATTGATCAAACAGTTTCTGTATCTGTATTTATATTTTATTGCTACTCATTGTTTTAAACAACTTGGCTACTAAACATTTTGCCTTCAGTGGCTTTAACAAATGAATTTGCCTACTAAGGAAAGTTATGGCACACCAGACAAAAATTTGGGTATTTTGCTTTTTTCCCAACTATTAATTTGCTGTTTCCAAGACCAATAATTATAGTTTTTATAATACCAGTTAGTTTGTTTGCTTTATGAATTTTTGTGATTTTATGTGAGTCATCTTCAACTTGAGAAGTTTGATGAGTTAAAAATTAAATAAATAATGGTTCAACATCCTTCATTAAAATTTTTAATTTTTTTTAACAATGTTAAAAAAAAGTCTGAATATTATTTGAATCTAGTCATAATATTAGCCACAGATTTTCCCTTCAGATGATGCTATTAGTAGAAATCAAACACTTCTGGCTTGCTTCCAATAATGGAGAGAGGGGTAAAGGCAGAGGGTGTGCTGGTGCTTGTTGCTTCTCATAAGCATCATGCGTAGCCATCACTTGGTATGACATGTGCATAGGAATAGAATAGAATTCTTTATTGGCCAAGTGTGTTTGGACACACAAGGAATTTGTCTTGGTACAAATGCTGTCAGTGTACCTAAAAGAAAAGATACATTTGTCAAAAATTATAAGGTACAACAATAATAGTCATAGGGTACAATAAGCAATCAAATCATACCAGGAAACTGTCAATATAAATCATAAGCGACAAAGTTACTGTCATATAGTCACAAGTGGGAGAGAATGGGTGATAAGGAGTGATGAGAAGATTAATAGTAATAATAATGTAGACTTTGTAATAGTTGAACAGTGTTGAGGGAATTATTTGTTTAGCAGATTGATGGCTTTTGGGGAAAAACTGTCTTTGTGTCTAGTTGTTCTAGTGTGCATTGCCCTATAGCATCGTTTTGAGGGTGGGAGTTGAAACAGTTTATATGCAGGATGTGAGAAGTCTGAAAATATTTTCACAACCCTCTTTTTGACTCGTGGAATTGGATTTTACATATTTGATAGAAATCATGATTTGTGGGAAATCCTGGGAATTCCTGTCTCTTTTGAACGTTCAGGGAAACCGTTGAAAATTTAATAGGAAACAACATATCTGGTAAAGGTCTTGCCTTGTCCAAGAGGTATATATTTGATTCTTACGACAAATAAAAAATGGACAGAAATCTCTCTCTCTCTCTCTGCAATTCTACAGGACAATCACTACCGTCCAACAGATAGTGCCACATGTTTCCTCTGTGACTGCTACCATACCGGCTCATTATCTCGCACCTGTGAACCTGAGACTGGGCAGTGCTCCTGCAAGCCAGGTGTCATTGGACGCCGCTGCGACCGCTGTGACAATCCTTTTGCAGAAGTTACCATCAGCGGCTGTGAAGGTTAGAAATACTCCGTGGGCAGGAAGCCTCGCTAAATCACATTGGATTAGGTCAAATTTGTCCACTGCAGACAGAAACCTTAGTTGATCCCAAAGAATGGAGTAGGGTTAAAGTTGATTGGGATTTAAATAGTAGGCCACCAGGAAACCCTAACAATAGCCAAGATCAAAGAGGGGAGGGTAAAGAAATCTTGGAAGAAAGCAATTGCAGGTCACCTTTGTGCTACTTCTGAAAAAATCTACATGGACATGTCTATGAAGTCAACAGAAGACAAAGTCAAGCTTGATTCGAAGGAAACTCTGCTTCATTATGCCCGTCTTACTTTTGCTCACCAATTTTCTCAACTAAAAAGCTCCCAGCAATTAAAGGGAAAAATACAATGCAACTATCGCATTGATTCATGTGATTCCTACAGATCGGATTTCTTGGGGGTGGATTGTTGTTTTCTATATGACCAGAGTACGTTCTTGCCCTTTGTTTTCTGTAGGCAATTTATTTCCAAAGCAAGTATATGTAAAAATATTAAACCTTAATTATCTTCCCTTTTTAAATATGCTTGCTGAAAAGAGCACACTGAGTTTGCATAGAGCAAATTAATACACACAGATTTTTTTCTTGCAGTGAATTACGATAGTTGCCCACGTGCCATTGAAGCTGATATTTGGTGGCCACGCACCCGCTTTGGTTTACCTGCAGCTGCACCTTGTCCTCGGGGATCTGTAGGTAATGAAATATCTAAGAATGCAATCGAGTGCATATAGTAATCAATTTAATTATTAAATGGCCTTTGGATGCTTCCAGGTAAAGGTTTCTTTAGTTATCCTACTTTGTTTATGACTTTTATAGGTGATCAAAGAAAGTAGTCTTCCTCAAATAGGCATCCTATGGTTTTCTAGCCTTCATCATTTAAAAAAAAACCCTTCTGATGTGGAGTAAACATTACAATGTATGTTGCAGAGTTTTTCTCTCTGCTTGGACCACAATTTGTGTCAGACATATTCTCCTCTTAGCATTGTGGCAATCTTATTCGTGTCTGGAAAATAAAATTCCACACTAAAAAGGGGAAATACTAACACAATTCCATTCTTCTCTCTGTGAGGTGTATTTAAAAGGCAAATGTTTCCATCCGAAAGAAAGGAAAGAGAGAGAGAGAGAGAAATAAAAAGAAAGAGGAAAAAAAAGAAGAAAGAGAGAGAAAGAAAAGGAGAAAGAAAGGGAGAAAGACTGAGCAAGCTAATATTTTGTGGCATTTGGTTTTGTGAGCTAAGTTTCACATTGTCCCTCTTCTCTTTTTTTTTTTTTTTTTTGCTCTACAGGGACTGCTGTACGGCACTGTGATGAACACAAGGGCTGGCTGGCACCCAATCTTTTCAACTGCACCTCACTGACTTTTGCTGTTCTCAAAGATTTTGTAAGTACTTGTCTTTCATTTTTCCTGGTGCAAAGCCAGGAATCTGTGGATTTACTTATTTCTATATGCATGAATGAATGCAAATAGTTTGTTTCTGTTTCACCAACGTTCTCAAAAGCAGTGGCTGTTTGATACAGCTATTTGTCCTCCCTCAAGTTGGTTTCATTCATAGAATCCCCAGTCCTGCCAATTACCATGGAAATCTGTCAATGATGATCATAGCAAAAGGTTTCACCAAGACATTGCCACAATGGAAAAATGGTATCAGGGCAACTGGAATCCATCAATGCTGACTGACAACTGTTGGACATTGCAACAAGTTGCATCAAACACTGACTACAAATGAAAATCAGCAGCAAAATGTTTAAATTGAACTCATGTAGCATATCGGAAATATTATGCAATTAAAACATAATTAAAAGTTAATTCCATATTTCTCAAGATTCCTATGTGATACAGTCATTCTGAAATTATATTCATGTTCAGTTTTAAGGGGTCTATCATTATCACCCAAAAAATTTCAGAAAGCAAAACTTCTGAAAAAAATTGTCCAGTAGAATTTATGTTTGGTTAATTTACCTTGTTTTATTGAAGCACCTTTGCAAAATATCTTAATCTTTCCTGTGTAACAGGCAGAAAGATTACTGCGGAATGAATCATTTTTGGATACAGAGCAGTCTCAGCGGGTAGCTCTACAGCTTCGCAACGCTACACAAAACACTGAGAGCTTCTTTGGCAGTGATGTCAAAGTGGCTTTTCAGCTCTTAGCTCAACTTCTGAAGCATGAAAGCAACCAAGAAGGCTTTGGCTTGGCGGCTACCCAGGATGTTCACTTCACTGAGGTAAGGCCATCAGCTCAGGTTTATATGAAGTAAAAACTCTTGTGAGCAGCACACATTTTTTTAAAGCAAGCAAACAAATTTGAAAACGTCTGGTATCAAACGTCAATTTAACCTGATGATACTAGGTTGGTCTACTCTTTAGAGCATGAGAATATGTAGAGCACTACGTGGCTTAGTGGAAGAGAACTGGCAGATATTCTGTTGCATCTCTTAAGAGAAGCAAGTTATTTGGCGCTTTCAGCGATAGTTAAGAAAGGAACAGATCTATTTAGCTCAGCTGAACATTATGGAAGGAATGACAACTGGCAAATTAGGCTTCATCCTAAATGATTAAAATTTTATCTACAGGTGTTTTAAATAAAAATAATAAAAATAAATGCTACAGCATAATCTATATAAATCCAAAGCCCAAATTAGTTCTCCAATGAAGATTATTTTCTTAATAAATGTGGTTTGTTAAAAGATACACACATATTATAAGCAAATGTTCCCTGCAAGAAATACCAGGAGTGAATATTCTTTGGCCATCGATTCGTGTAACTTTTTTGGCCTTCTTGTAAGTGCAACAAGATTCCAGTCTTGCCCCTTTTTACTTTAGATTTGTTATCAGAAGCTCCTCTTAGCTGTCTCATATTTTTTTATGTGTCCTACAGAATTTGCTTAAGGTAGGCAGTGCTTTACTGGACAACAGCAACAAGCATCACTGGGAACTGATCCAACAGACAGAAGGTGGCACAGCGCAGCTGCTCAGACACTTTGAGGACTATGCAAGCACTCTGGCCCAGAACATGCGCAAGACATACTTGAACCCATTTACCATCATCACACCCAACATTGGTGAGAGAATAATAATAATGTCTCCTAATTAGCAAAATACTAGTTGCTCAGTTCTATGCATTTTAAATAATCATACAGTTGAGTACCTTGGTTCTCAAAATTCATATCAAAATGCTTGAGTACCAAATTTCATGAGTTTCAAAGGTACTCAACTGTTTTGAAACTCATCAAATTTGGTACTCAACACATTTTGACATGATTTTCCCCCCAATACTCAAACAAATGGTACTCATCGTTTGTTTGGTACTCAACGCACAAGCTAGAACTTGTTGGTCTCTGCTACCTTGTGACTCATTACGTTATTTCTTATGGGAAAAATTTGTTTGGTACTCATTGTTTTTGGTAGTCATCACTCCTCCCAGAACCAATTAAAGATGAGTACCAAGGTAGCACTGTACTTACAGTAGATTAATCTGCATGTGAATAACAGCAATGATAAATGAAAGAGATTATTATTATGCCCACTCAAGAACATCCAAGTCTGAGGGAAAGAGTTATAAGTACAAGAGTCCGACTGGACACTGCCATTCAGTTGGCTTGATGTCTCTTGCCTTGTGTGTGTATATGTGGGTCTCTATCGATCTGTGTCTTACTTTGGCAGTTATTTCGGTGGTGAGGTTAGAGAAAATGAACTTTGCTGGTGCCAAACTGCCCCACTATGAAACACTCCGTGGTGAGAAACCGGCCGACATAGAAACTACTGTCATCCTGCCTGAAAGTGTATTCAAGGCTCCAGAAGGCAAACGTGAGTTTTGGGCGTGGGGGTGAAAATTCCTGATATTGTAAAAGAGATGAGGAAGAGAAATCAATTGATACAATACCTCTTTGGCAATACAACTAGTTTTTTTTTTTTTACTGCCCAGGCTCTTTTATCTGGGGCATGAGCAGTAGAAGAAGCAATATCACATATACATATCATTTGTGTCAGAATGCACAAGGTTGGGCTGATTAGATCTTTTCTTTAACCAACTGGCCTTTTCCTGAAGTCTTATTATATGATGCTTCCCAAGCTTTTAAGTGACTGGGTTTTATTCAGTAAGCTAAGCTGTAGAGTACTTACCAAATTTCACTGAATACAGCAGAACTAGTAATACACTAAAATAAATTACATTATGGCTTAGTGCAACATCGAAACCCATCCATTCAATCCTTAGCGCCTTGTTTTCTGACGAATTAGCTGTGTGTGTTACATAACAGGCCTGGATTTATTTTGAGGCTTTGTGGTTTCCTGGAATGCATTGGATGATCAGTGCAAATCAGTACTGAATGCCATGATCAAGACTAAAATGCACATGAAGAGGAGTTCCTATTATCTATTATCTTCATAAAAAGCTATCAATAGAAAGCTGAAATGGAAAACAGAGATCAAAATAAGGAAGTCCTTTCCTCTTATACAGCATGTCAGTTCGGAAGAATTTTATTTTCTATGTATGAGGGACTGGGAAGAGGATATATCTTTGCCATGAATGGCAACTTCAGGCCCTGACAAATAGGAATATGGATGTTATCAAAATAATCAGTCTAAAAAGAAAAATAGTAGGACTAGCCTGGTAGATCAGAATGATGTAAGAAGTAATTTAATACCATTTTTGTTGGCCCAGGCAAGAAAGGGGCAAGACAAGAGCAATTGAGTTGTAGTTTCAAGTAACAGGAGAATTGGGATGGCTCTAGTATGCAGAAAGGTTCTAATCACTTGATAGAAGGGAAGTGGTGGTCTTACAGAAATAGGGACTATGTCATGGTGATCTAATTATCTACTAAATAAGTACCTAGGCATAGGCCTAGACATAGAGTCAAGGAGCTGGAAGGGACCTTGGAGTCCAACCTCAGGGCAGGAGATCTTATACCATATTGAACAGATTGTGTCCGATGTTTTTGTGAAAAATCTCCACATCTCCTGAAGAATGTTAGCTTCTTTTTTGTTTCCCCAAACAAGCAGACTACAAATATTGGAAATAAATATTAGTGAAACGTTGTTTATCGTGTTGCTCTAGCAAAATGAAATGTTTCACTAATGTTTCATGTTCACTCTTCAGAATCTTCTGTGGCCAGTGCCAAACATTTGCCGGGCACCAATGAGGAAGAAGAACATGCCCTTATGACAAGACAGAAAAGACATCCAGATCTAAGTGAGGGCCAGGCCATTGCCAGTGTGATCATCTACCGCAACCTGGCAAGTCTGCTTCCAGAGCAGTATGACACAGATAAAAGGAGTCTAAGGTAATGTCTGCCTCACACCTCAATGCATGGATGTATTAGTAGAGGCTGTAGAAATGTTTAGATACACAATGTTTGTGTTTTATTTCAGTTCTCATTTGGGGTTCTCCATGTTGCTTATTGAAAGGGTTGTTGAAACTTCAATAGCTTCATGATTGTCTGGTCCACAAAATGGTTGTTGTCATTTGCCTGGCTGACTTTGTCTCGATTTAGAAACTAAGCCGGGCATATTCTGGCTAGTACTTACTTGGATGGGAGACCACTTGAGAACCGTAAGATTAGGAAGTTGAAAAAATATCCCCTGAAGCAATTGCAAACCACCGTCTATAGTGTTCCTTAAAAAAAAGAAAGATATCAATGTAATCATTAAATGATTACAAGAGCCAGGCTTGATTTGAAAGAGATGTTATTTTATTTTTGAAGATTTAGCAAATGTCTGAAAGCACTACACGGGGAGGGTGTGTGTGATGGTAAGCAGAATTCAACTTTACGGAAGGGAAAGAGTGATTTAAGTAATATACTTTATTGATTTATGTGTTTAGGGTCCTGCCATTTGGCTTTACTATAAGTTGATTAATCATCATGGCTGTTGTTTGTACTTACTTGGTGATGTTTTTTATTGTTGTAATACTTTTTAATTGTTTTATAATTTTACAATTGTAAGCCACTTAGAGTACCCTGACTGAGTTGAGCAGCTATAGAAATTGAATAGATGGATGGATGACTAAATAAATGCCCTGTTATCATCACAGAGTCCCCAAGCGTCCTATCATCAACACCCCAGTGGTGAGCATCAACATCCATGACAATGACGCATTGATGCAACGTGCCCTTGAGAAACCCATCACTGTGCAATTTCGGATGTTGGAAACTGAGGAGCGGACCAAGCCTATTTGTGTCTTCTGGAACCACTCCATCCTGTGAGATCTGTTTCCCAGACAAAATGGCTGGGACTGCCATATAATGAACAGGGAGGGAGCAATCGATGTTGGGAGGGTAGCGGGGCAGGGTTCCTCAGGGTGACAGCCCCATCTTGACTCTGCTCTTTTTCAGGGTCAGTGGAACTGGTGGCTGGTCAGCTAAAGGCTGTGAGGTGGTCTTCAGGAATGAAACCCATGTCAGCTGCCAGTGTAATCATATGACCAGCTTTGCGGTACTGATGGACATTTCCCGCAGAGAGGTGAGAAAAATAAGGACCCTTCTTTGAGAATCGGAGAATAGCGCAAGGGAGAATTCTGCAGGGAGCATAATATAGTAGCAGAAGTTAGGTTTTGGCTCCTTAAGACTCATAGGGCTGAGAACAGCTATTTGAGCCATCAAGTATGCCTCCTGCTCAGTGCTGGAACTCGAGACAAATAGCTATGTTTGAACACATTTAGTAAAGGAAAATAATTGATTCCACTGTCAAATTGCTCTTGCTTTTAGGGAGACCAAATAATAAGATGCATGGGTATCCATTAATAAATTCTCTGTTCCTCTCAGAATGGTGAGATCTTACCCCTGAAGACGATCACATATATCTCCATTGCTGTGACACTGGGCAGCCTCCTGCTTACTTTCCTCTTCCTGGCTGGGTTGCGAACTCTGCGATCCAATCAACAAAGCATCCGCAAGAACCTAGTGATTGCGCTATTTTTTTCTGAACTTGTCTTCCTACTGGGCATCAACCAGGCTGATCTGCCAGTAAGCATCTGTATGGGTGGGACAGAGAAAAAACTCTGCTAAAAAGATTAAGTTCATAGTCATGGTCACATCTACTAAATATCAATTCAACAAATATTATCTATTGCTAATGAATAGTCAGGCAGCCCATTCCTCCCCAACAAGCCACACAGGGTTATCTGGCATCTGTGCATCCTTCTTTGTTTGGGTGCCTTTGAGAAATCAAGGAAACTGCCTTAAATTAATAGCAGGAGTTCCTGGAAATGTGAATCAAAGACAGGAAAACATCCTATCTGAATTCTGAATATACAGTGAAATGCTTCATTACATTTCAGTTTTTGTGCACATTTGGAACAGGTTTCTAATCCTGCTCTTTTGTTTCTTTCTATGATAGTTTGCTTGTACTGTCATTGCCATCCTGTTGCACTTTCTGTACATGTGTGCCTTTGCCTGGGCATTGCTAGAAGCATTGCATATTTACCGCATGCTGAGTGAAGTGCGAGACATCAACTATGGCCCAATGCGCTTTTATTATATGGTTGGATGGGGTGTGCCAGCATTCATCACAGGTGAGGCTTGCATTAAACTTCATATAATCTGGCATACAGTCGTGGCCATTCTGAGGCCATTATATTCTTTGTGACCCTTATTTTATTAAAAAGAAAATAGCTTATTTGATTAAAATAAAATGGTTCCATCCCCTGCTAATCTTATAACAGGTAACTGAATCAATTTAAGCAGGATATAACCGGCCAAGCCTAAAGATAACGCTGGAGTGTATTGAACTGTTTTATTTATTTATTTAGAAATGTATTTATTTAAAAATGTATTTATTTAGAAATTTATTTATTTAGAAATGTATTTATTTAGAAATTTATTTGCCGCCATTCTCATGCTCAATGACTCTGAGCGGCTTACAACATAAAAACATTAAATTATAAACATCAATTATAAAATAACAAAGCAGATAAAATCATGAACACAAGATGGCAAAGGAGGGAGCCAGATACATGGGGGAGGGGGAGGTAGGATTAGGTTTTAATTAGTCAATCACCTCCAGTGTGAAGCTCTCCCATTGGTTCCCCAAGCCATCTGGCAGAACCACGTCATAAGGCTCTTACCAAAAATCAGGAGGGTGGGAGCCAATCTCACTTCAGGGATGTCCCAGAGGGCAGGAACTATGGCAGAGAAGGCTCTTCTGGATCTCACCAGCCAAAATTCCTTGGCATGGAGTATGCAGTTTGCCCCCTCTGCTGGCATCGGTGTGGTGGGTCAGTCTCATCTGGATGAGACTGTTTCTGGACCCATGCCATGCAGGGCTTTAAAGATGACAATCAAAACCTTAATACCGTTCTGTCAACTTACTGTTCAACTTACTGTCTAAGTGATAATCTACTAGCTATAGAGTAGATGAGGGGTGTCAAACTTGCGTCATCACAGTGGTGTCACGTGACATATAGGAGCTTTTTTCTCCCTTCAGTAAACCAGGCATGGGTGTGGCCAGTGCAGGATGCATCTGGCCCGCGGGCCGCGAGTTTGACAGCCCTGGAATAGATGATTAAGGACTTATGTTTCCTCTTTATTGACTGTTTTGTGTGGTATTCTCCTTAGGACTTGCTGTGGGTCTGGATCCTGAAGGGTATGGGAACCCAGACTTTTGTTGGCTCTCCATCTATGATACCCTGATTTGGAGCTTTGCTGGTCCCATTGCTTTTGCTGTTGCAGTGAGTAGAGAAGCAAGGGAAAATGGGGAGGCAAGGCAAAAGACCCACATTTCACAATATGGGGACAGCTGTCTGATTTACATGAGGTGTAAATTATAAATGCATAAGGAAAAAAAGAGAGGGTCTTTTTTTAGGATGGACATGGCAACTATTACTTTCACATAAAGTTTAGTTTTATTTACCCAGGGTGTCAAGGACTGCCTAGTTCTGTCGTTTTATTTTTCCATCTGAAACTCTTTGAAGAACTTGGAAAACAATCTTCTTGGTCAACTGACTGAAGATGCAGTGGAAGGCTGAGAAGCATTGCCTAGAATTGCAAATCTTCCCTTGTTCCAATAGGAACCTCAGCTGATGGGTTACATGAGTTTCCCAATCAGTCATACAGTAGTTATAAAACTGAAGGGTCCTTGGTGCTCTCTGAGAATGCTTGTCTCCTTGCAGATGTTTCATTACCCTAACTGTATGTAACATCATCAGTGCTAGTGCTAGTTATAAGACTCTGATAAAAGAGAACTGATCTTTGCAAGACCCAGGAAAAGGCACAGTATTTAAAATATTCCAGGTTTGGGAGGATACACTGTTAGCCAGAGAGAAATCTAGTTTTAAACTTTTCCGTCTTTCATTCTATAGATGAGTGTCTTCCTCTATGTTCTGGCCACCAAGGCTACTTGTGCAGCTCAACAGCAAGGTTTTGAGAAGAAGGGGACAGTGTGAGTCTGGCATTGTTCACGCACAACTATTCTTTTCACCGATTATGAGTATTTAACTATTCTTCCATGTCCCTGCATTGTGATTTCCACTTTATTGATCCTGTGTGCCCTTGTTATTGATGTCACCTTATCTCACCCTACTAAGTCGTTCTGTTTCCTGCTTTCCATTTTCTGACTTACCATTGATGTATCCCAATAGTCAATGCTTCCAATATTTTTGCTGGAATTTTGGGATCAGTCCTACATAAGTACAAAACTAGGTAGTATTGCAAAGTCAGTGGAGGCCATGCTCCATGGTCAGCCAAGAGAATCAGGAACTCCTTCATAAGTAACACTCTACTCATGAGACTTGGGAGTTGTTGTGTGGGAGAACCCACACTGACTATGCTCTTTCTCTACTTTAGCTCCGGTCTACGGTCGGGCTTCATCTCTCTGCTGATCATGAGTGTCACTTGGTTGCTGGCTTTGCTGTCCATCAACAGTGATGCCATCCTCTTCCACTATCTCTTCGTGGGCTTCAACTGCTTCCAGGTAATTTGAGTATCAGGACAATAGCACACATTGGTATGGAATCTCCCCAGGTCCGTTAACATTTGCTCAATAATATTGGGCTGTTATTAAGTCCCCCAATTCAATTTTGTTTTCACCATTTTCCCTTTTCTCCAAGAACTCGTTTATCTCAATTTCCTACAGTAATGGAAATTGAAGAATTGGCCAAAATTGATTTTTATAGAATTTCATGTGGCTTTTTGAGTACAGTTGACCTCTGTTTGGCAATTGGAGCAAAGAGCATGGAGATTTTATTGATCATGATGCTGTATCAGGCACATCATGCACTTTCCAATTAGCAAGGGAAGAAGAGCTAGTTTTTTTAGTGGGTTGGGATCTTTTAAAAGATGAAAGAGTTCTGGAGGTGTACTGGGAAACATAAACAGAATTTACACAGGAGTTGGACCACATGTTTTAGACCTTCGAAATAAATCAGTTCTTATATTCTTGAGCTCTTTGACTCTCAAAATGATTTAGTCCTATGGAACAAGGGGATTTTAATTTCCATTACTATATATAGAAATGTGTCCTTTTTTAACTTCTCTCTGTTGCTCCAAATACTTGGATGTGTATAGATTTCATAAACGTTCCTACTTTACTGCCATGTCAAAGATCAAAATAATTAGGAAATGATAATTTAAAGTAGGATTTTTATCAAAGCTACTGATCTAAGTCATAATAGAAACATGTAAAAATGAAAAAAGCAGCAATTATTCTCTGTAGAAATTGGCGTTGCCTGGTCAAACTTTAAAGAGTTTAATACAAACTTTTGCAATTTTTAGGAAGAAAAAAAATACTGCTTATGAGTGGGAAGAAATATATGAAACAAAAATAATAAAGACCCCATGTAGGGTTGAAAATAGAAAACAAATCTTGCAAACTAGGCTACTGGCTTTCCCTTACTTTAATGCTTTGGAAACCCAGCATGATACAATGGTTAAATTGCTGGACCAGTACTAGGGAGACCCAGGACTAAGAACCCCTTTAGCATGGAAATACCGTGATGGCTTTGGACTAGTCATTCTCTCTCTCAGCACAAACTATCCCACAGCATTGCTATTGTAAAGATAAAGTAAAGAGATCTCCATAGAATAATGCTGACAAATAAGCATTATTGAAGCTTGGAAGCCATGAGGCTGTCATTCATTGTTTATTCTCTCATTGTTCCATAGGGACCCTTAATCTTTCTCCTCTGTGTCATCTTATCTAAAGAAGTGAGGAAGGCTCTCAGATCTATTTGTGGAAAGAAGCACAGCACTGATCCTACACTCACTACCAAATCTACCTTGACAGCAGTGAGTATTTCAAGGCACTTTCTTTCCTAGTCTCACTGAGGGCCAATAATACCTTTGAGTAGAAAACCATGGGTATTTTGTTGCAGAATTTGACACTGATCTTAAAAGGCAAAATAAACAAAACGTTGACCTGGAGTTGGCATTTTGCTCCAATTCAGAATGTTAAGTCATATTCTGCATCAAGAGATGACAATGAAGCCACTGCATACATTTTCGTATTTTAACTGATTCTCCTACTAGTAGTATTATGGAATGCACAAAAATGACATAGTACACTGAATCAAATCAAATTCTTTATTGGCCAAGTGAGATTGGACACACAAGGAATTTGTCTTGGTGCATATGCTCTCAGTGTATATAAAAGAAAAGATACATTCATCAAGAGTCAAGAATCATCAGGTTTACAACACTTAATAATAGTCACAGGGTACAATAAGCAATCAAATCATACTAGGAAACAGCCAATAAAATAATTAGGATTCAAGCAACAAGGTTGCAGTCATACAGTCATAAGTGGGAAGACATAGGTGAAAGGAAGGAAATTATATACAATCTCCAGGCTTGACCACCTCAGTACTCACATCTTTTCACTACCAACTGTGTCACTTAAAACTAAGTAATTTCATGAAAGCTGAGATTCAGCTCTGACTTTTGTGTTTCCTGGATCAGATGGTATGCACAATATTCTCTATCCTGCTTTCAGATCATCTTCTGAGCTTTTATATCCAGGATATAACAGGAAAAGATGGTCTGGATAGCAAAGATAAGTTTTGGCAACAGATTCCAAGGAGCAACTAGTGAACAAACGCCTGTGAGAAGAAACACACTGCTAGCATTGAGAAACATGAGAAATATTTTCTAATATAAAAGAGATGAATGGTCAAGTAGATAAGACAAAGTTGGCATAGTGGAGGATATGATGTCCAGAACTGAGAGCTGTGCTAACAAAAAATACTCAGTTCCTTAATCCAATTGGTGAACACCCCAAAATTTTTTTTACCCCTTGCCTCTCTGTTGCTATTAATTGCTCTCTCTCTCCCATATTATTCTGATCTCAACAGGCTTATATTTGCAACAATACCTATGTGGATGGGCAGTTGTACCATACGCCATTTGGGGACTCCACTGGTTCCTTGCATAGCACTGTCCGCTCAGGCAAGAGTCAGCACAGCTACATCCCTTTTGTGCTCAGGTAATTCTAAAGTAAAGAATATATAACTCTTTCCTTGCCCCCATGGCCTTGCTGTTTTTATTGTGGAATCTTGGCAACCATCAATTTCTCTATTTTCTGTTCACAGGGAGGAGTCTGGCTTGAACAATAGCCAGGTACACATTGGGCCTGCAGATCCCAGTTCTTTGTTCTTGGAAGACAAGGATCAGAACAATGGTGAGAGGCTTATGAATTGCTTTCAATTGATAGCATGCCCTATAATTTGCTTATTAAAGCTACAGTGTAGCGTGTCTCATTTCCATAATGTTTTTTTCTTGTTTTTTCCTTCTACTTCCTAATCACCTTCTTTAAGCGCTCTATGATTTTGGACAGCTATGGTGATTATATGTGAACAAAAAATTCACAATTCCTCCCCCTCATGTTTCTCAGAATCTAGTCAAAATTAAATATATGCTAGGACTGTGGATGTGGTAGAGCCATAAAGCTGCAGCTTAGTATATTTCATGTTGTGTACATGTTATATCTGTAAATCCCATGAAACTCCATGATATCTTCATAGAATTGCACAGCAAATTTCTTTATTTGCTTTGCTGTGCTAAGACTCTTTTATTCTAGAAGAGAAAGGCAGATTAAAATTAGCATTGTCTTTGTGTGCATTCAGAAATGACGAGCCAGGCCATTATGGTATGTGTCTGTGGGACTTTTTATAGATAAATACTTGCCTTTTTCATAGATGCTGTCCCATTCCTTATGAAATTGCTATTTTAGCCCTTCATTGTTAAAGAATCTGTATTTTATCCATATGGTTATCTTGTGGGATTGATAAGGCAGGCAGATAGCCCATTGCCATTCAGTGAACTTAGTCAGTTACAATATAAAGAGGAGTTTGGGGTGGATACTATAGGTTAGAAAGGAGACAAATTCATTGTTTGAGAAGATGTATTCCTAATACCAATAATTCTGATTTATTCATTAAATTGTTGGGAGACTAAAAGAAATTGGCATGGACTTTAGAAACTAGTAGGACAAAAAGCTGCAACAGCCAATAAGATCAACTTTGCATAACCAGTTTGGTCCAGTGGTTACAGCACCAGACTAGAAGGCAAGAGATTGTGAGTTCTAGTCCTGTTTTATCTATGAAAGCCAGCTTGGGCCAGTCACACTCTCTCAGCCCAGCTGACTTCACAGAGTTATTGTTGAGCAGAAAATAAGAAGAGGAAGGTATGAGTTCACCACCTTGAGTTATTTGTAAAAAATAATAATGGCAGGATACAAATAAATAAAGGCACGATACAAATAAATAAAGGGGTAAGAAGTAAACCTACCTTCAATCAGTTTGATTCCAAGTGAACTGCTGGGATACAGGAACATCTTCATGTATTAGATACTCGAACACAGGAAACTGAAAGAGATAGTATGCTGTCTCTTCCACCAAAGAGTAAAACACAGGACAGAAGGATTTTCTCTACTGCAGAATTGAATTGCTGAAATACTGCATTTATACTGGTACAGCTAAAAATAACATGTCTGTTTCACTCATGGGTTGGAAACATGGTGATGGTAACCTCATGTAGACATGGCAATCTTCACCCTTTTTCTCCCCAGGCATAACATTTGTTATGGTTAGGTACAAGTGGGGAAAGCAATAGCAATACACTTAGACTTACATACCTCTTCATAGTGCTTTATAGGCCTCTCTAAGTGGTTTACAGAGTCAGCATATTGCCCCCAACAAGCTAGGTCCTCATTTTACTGACCTTGGAAGGCTGGAAGGCTGAGTTAACCTTGAACTGAACTGGTCAGGATCGAACTCCTGGCAGTGAGCACAGTCAGCCTGCACCACCACAACTCAAAACTCACCCAGGTTTTTTAAAATAGTGATGTTGTCTATTATATCCTTAATTGAATTGAGGAAGTTCTAATAGTAGACATGGAAATAAGCTTCAGGTAGCATTCATATTCAAACATACATTTCATCACTGTGAATCAAGGGACCTTTTTGTCCCATCTTGAAACCATATTAGATTGGATGATAATACTACAGACCTTGTATCTTAAAATGTGTTTTGCAAGAGTTGAAAAAGAAACAAAAACTCAGCATTGTTAGATTTGATGCTGCTTAAACATTTTATTATCTTCACTCTGGGTTACTCCAAATTGAGATATTCTGATGACTTTCTGGGTTAGATCTGAAGCTGGCTTTTCCCAGCTCTGATGTGACACTGTAGCCACTACACAGATTATAGAACATTATAGACTGAGCTTGCACAAAAATGCACATGCAAGAGAACAATTTAATCACATGCTATGATCCCTTGATTTGTGTAGATGGTTCTTAAATAACAAATTGGGACCATGAGAATCTGGTATGAGTTAAGACCGAGGAACAGGTGAGTGAAGAATGGATATGCTGTTAATGCAGTCTGGTTTCTATTTGTTTCTCTCCCTGCACTTTTTGGGCACAGAACGTGATACCGATTCAGACAGTGACCTTTCCCTGGAGGATGACCAGAGTGGTTCCTTTGCTTCCACCCATTCTTCTGACAGTGAGGAGGAGGACGAAGAATTTCCCAAGGAACCCTGCTGGGAGAACTTATTGTGTCCTAACAATGAGAAGCTGCCAACACTTAGCACTCCAAAGGGTAATGCTAGACATGGGCAATTCCAGGAATATTTCACTAAAACTGGAAGAAGGGATGGAGCCAACACTAGATCAGACTTTATCCAGATTACAAAGAAGCTTCAACTAAACTTCATCATTCTAGAATTTATGTGATTGGGTGGTAGATAGACCATTGCTCTAGTGCAGAGGTCTCCAAACTTGTCAACTTTAAGACTTGTGGACTTCAACTCCCAGAATTCTCCAGCCAGCATAGTCTCCAGCCAACAACAAGTCTTAAAGTTGCCAAGTTTGGAGACCTCTGCTCTAGTGACTACAGGGAACTGTAACTCTTGAGTAAGGTGTGTAATCAAGCTCAGCTTCTGTAAGTTACAGATACTTTAATACTATGCAAAATTATCAATTGAGATAAAACAGATAAAATCTCATTTACGTACAGCAGGGGTCGCCAACCTTTTAGACCTCAGGGACCACCAAACTCATAATTTTAGATCCCAGGGACCACTAACTGGTTCTGTGGGTGTGGCCTAATTTGTGGGTGTGGCTTGGTGGTCATGTGACTGGCTGGGCATGGCTTGTATGTAAATGTTATAAATATTTATATAAATATTGAATTTTTTATTTAAATAAAGAGCAATTTTTACTCAAAATCAGGCAAAGCAGGCAGATTGAGTTGCTCACAGAATCATTCAGTGATTTATCTATCTGCCATCAGCTAGCTCAGTCTCTCAAATTTGCCGTAAGTCTGAACTGAATTTGCTTGCAAGCAAACCTTCAGTCCTAAGGGAGGTTTGGCTGTGCTGAGCCGAAGATCTAAAGACTAGCTAGAAAGCAAGAAATCCAACCTGCTTCTTAGCTAATTTAAATCTCCCAGCACAGCAGAACAGGTGGTTGGAACAGATGATGGTCAGAAAAAGGAAAAATAGCAATTTAGCAGGCAAGTTTGCCGGGTAAAGAGTGAGTGGGTGGGGAGGATTCCCATGGGCCATGTGAGCGGTGCAGCCTTGTGTTTCTGTGCAGCCTGGATTAATTGCTTTGTGGGGGTGCTCTGGGGGTGAGATTTCTCTGCAGCCCACCAAAATTTTCTCACGGCCCATCAGTGGGCCACGGCTCACCAGTGGGCCGCGGCTCACCGGTTGGCGACTGCTGACATACAGGGCAAGTTTATTTCTTCATGTAAATTACTTTATTGTTTGTTCTCCCCTATCAATGAAAATTGTGATTTACCATAATCCTCAAGAGTGGCATTGATGGCTCTTTTCCTGGCATGTTTTCAGGAGCTGCTAAAGAGAGCTGATATAAATATGTAATGATGGTGTGACAAAGGGAGAGGAAAAAAAACCCTGCAAAGCTTGCTCCCTAAGATTGCCTTTCAGAATAGTGACAAAACTCCTTCAGTATAGTTTTTCTCTGGGTCTGGTCATGCATTTTTGTGTTGGTTACATTTCCCTGGGCAATGGCTTTCATTAAGCTCTTCAGTGTGGCTGTTTAAAAATAGGGGAGAGCAGATACAGGGACATGTCTATGGAGGTCCTCAGTCATCTATGCTTGTCCCAAAGGTGCTTTTTCCAAGAACATAAATCCTTCCATTCCCCACCATCCAGTCAGAACTGAAGAAACTTCTTTGATGAGAAATGAAACATCTTCAAAGAAAAACCAGAAAGTCCAGTTGCCTCTTGGAAAAAAACACCTTTGGGAGATATAGGGACAAACATTGAAACCCACGACCTTCTTCTGCTTTCTCAGTAGATAACATCTCTGGACCTGGAAAACCTTATTGGCCGGGTGACTTTGTAACCACTGCCAGTGAGAGCGATGGCCACCCTGGCTCAGAGTTGCTGCGTGTAGAACCAATGGGTAAGAATGACCGGCTGGGACTGACAGAGGAGTTGGCCAGAGAGAATGGAGAGGGCATCTTGGGCTCACTGCCTCATCCCACTGCTCAGCCCCAGAAAGGTAAAAAGTTAGATTCTGGGAACTGTAACACCGACTGGTCTGTTTTACCCTAGCAACTTTCTCTTGAATTGCACTAAACACCAAGTTGCATTTTGCAATTGCTCTTATTATTCATGAGTGAATCCAGTGTCTTAAATCTCTCAGACCAGATAAATATGGATTAGGTGTATGTGAATTGTGGGAATGAACAGAAACAGTTTGCTTCTCTGTATGACTGGAAGCAAACAAAAAAAAATGTAAAAATGTTTCACAAATAATCATTTTTTTCTGGTGTGATACAGTAGTACAGAATTTAGCTTTATGAGACATGACCTTTTAATAACCTTGTAATCAACAAATCTAACTGTGTGTCATTCTTTGGATGAACTAGAAATAAGATTGGGCCTATAGAAAAGACTGGGAACAGGCTGATCTTCCATCATTTAAATGCCTCTTGGAATCCTGTACAGACAGGCATAAGCAGTTAATAATGAAAGAAAAGAGCTCAATTACCAATATGTTTTAATATAAATGTATTAAATTTAAGCATCACAGTAATTCATTTATAGAGCATAAACTGCAGTGCCTGTTGTTACATATTAAGGGATACAATATTGGTTATGATTAATTTTTTCTGTTAATAAAACTAACTCCCTTTGGGCAGAAATAATGTGTCATTGCAGACTTTAGTGAGAAAACTCCACAAAACTAATTTATAGTTTTATAGAATAAGCTGGCAATGGTGATTCTTGTAAAGTGAAGGACTACACCGGAATGAACATTCTCCAAGTTACCAACTTAGAAATGAAACCAAAAACAAAATCTGATTTATTTTAAGATCTTGCTACCAGATGGGCCTAAGACCATGGGATGTGATAATATGATGAAGAAAATACATAAAACCAGATAGTCTTTAGTCATTAATTTGAAGACCGTTTTAATTTACCAAGAGGATTGGGTGCCTTTAAGGTTTGAAGATGAAAATGGGACATAGCTCTGCTTTTTTTTTTAACAAGCAGAACAGGGGTGTCAAACTCGAGGCCCACAGGCTGGATCTGTGAAGGACTGGCCTGCGGTGCCTCTGCCAGTAAAAATGGTCTCCCAAGCTCCGTTTCTAGTTGCAAAGGTCTCCTGCAACCCTCTGCCAGTGAAAACATCCTCTGGCAGAGGATTGCAGGAGGCCGTTGCAGCCAGAAACAAAGCTCGGGAGCTCATTTTCGCTGGCAGAGTGCTCGGGCTGCCATAGGCACCTTCAACATGAGTGATATCGAGCAGGCCATGTCCCCTCTGACCACACCCATCCTGGCCCCCTGAGGTCAAACACAACTCTGATGTGGCCCTCAGTGAAATCGAGTTTGACACCTCTGAAGTAGAACATCATGGAGTGCACACCGCTATCCATAAAGACAAGTAGTCATATCCTTTGGCCTTGGTTTCCTGACTGTAGCAAGGAGTGGTGTTTTGTTTTTTTTTTCTCTTTACTCTGAATCTTCTGCCCTCAGGCATTTTAAAGAAAAAATACCTGCCACCCATCAGTGAGAAGAGCAGCATCCAGCGCATCCATAACAAGCTGTCCAGCTGCCGCTCAGGGATGGTATCATTGCATGGTTCTTCGGGGAGCGATGGCAGCCGTGGGGGTGGGATACCCCGACCCCGACAGACCCTACAGGAGCAGCTCAATGGCCTTACACCTATCACCATGAGCATAAAGACTGGCACAGTGGACGAGGACTCTTCAGGCTCCGAGTGAGTATGGCTGAGCCTTCTCCTTGCTCACCTGTCCTTGGTGGTTTGCGTGTGACAACCTGCTGCCTTTGCGAAGCCTCTTGTCCACGCCAGATCTGGTGCTTCTGATCTTTCAGGCGGATATTTTGTTATATTTCGTAGTTGCCCCAACTTTTATTCCCAGGCTGTGCCTTTAAGAACAATGCCTATCGACTTACAATTCTGTAGATTCTTTCTGACGTTTGTGTTACAGAAATCCCTTAATATTTCACTGACCTTGGGTGGAGGGTTCCCATTGTTGGAGAATATATTTGTCTGGCTTTGGGCCCAGACGATAACCCCTTAGCCCCATCTGGATGTAGCCCAGAATTCGAAAGGCAGGGTGCAGCCATCTCCTTCTCAGGTGGGAAAGGGAGTTTTTTAAGCCCAGGGTTACCCTGTACTATAGCTTGCCCAAGGGGCAGAGGAGCATGTCAGAATTAAAGTCCGCAAGAGTACTGAGCTGCTCCTGTGAGATGCTGTGGGACTCAGCCCACCTGCCATCTTCAGCAATGTGAACGGGGGGAATTGGGGGATGCTATCCTGTTCTAACTTCTTCCTGAGCTCTCTTGCACTAACCCCCTTCTCCTCCTCCTCTCCTCCCTTCTCTGTTTCTTGTTCTCTCACCTCTCGCTTCAATCGCCCAGATTTCTGTTTTTTAATTTCCTCCATTAACACACGAGCCCCAGGGGGGGTGCTTTGCTCAGACCTGCTCATGACCACACTCATGTGTTTGTGTTCCCCCTGTCCTGTCTCGCTTTGTGTTTGATCACTGAGCAGGAGCGATGAAACCTCAATCTGATGTCGCATGCACCAGACTCTCTCTGTCTCTGTCTCTCACACGTTTGGCCAGTCTGGGAGCCAGGATTGCTCTTAAACCACAGCGAGGAATGTTGTCTCCGTCAGCCCAGCCTGGCCCAGGGAGCTGGACCCACTGTATGTAGTGCCAAATGAAAAGTGACCTGCCCCCTCCCACCCTCGGGGAGGGGGGGGGAACAGCAGGTTCCAGGAGGCGGACCTTGTCGAACAGATGCACTTTGGATGATTCTAAAATGGACTGAAAGAACATAAACGTAACCACCTCCACGTCTTCAGGGATTTTCATGCTTTGTTGCCCAGTCTGGAAGTGCTGCGTGTCTGGAATATATATATTTTTTCTTTATCAAAATTGGTCTGGGGGAGCCTCAGCAGCCACCGTGTGGACATGTATTACTGTGCAGCTGTTTTCATTGCATATTTAAACAATGGGGTGGAGCTAGGGGCCAGTGTGCTTGAAGATGGTTGCGACTAGGAGCCACCAAGAACTGTACATTTTGACTTGAGTAACAAAACCAGGGCCAGCCCAGTTTTGGAGGACACCATGCTGGGCTTCTCCTAGGATGGAGGGAAATAGCACCTTTTAAATGGAAGCTGGAGGGTGTAGCAGACCTGGCTGTGCAGAGGACACAAGTGAGACCTACTATATGCTTGACATTCCTTAAGAGCCACAGCTGGCTTTGCGTTGAATCTGGAGGGCACATCCCAGAGCCTCCCTCTGCAGTATATATGTGTCCGCCAGCCATGGTCATTCTTTTTTTCTTATCCAGCAGCGTCCATCTAAACACACCTTCCAAGGTGCAATTGAAGCATATTTAATCCAGGGTGCACTTGCATCTCAGGCTCTCTGGCACACACAGAAAATGGGAATCTGACATCTTGGTTTTGCCATACTAAGCAATTATAGAATAGGAAAGAAATTCATCCAAGTAGCTTTTCCAGGATGCTGTAGAAGTATATTGTTGTTCTGCCTAGTTCCACCTGCACTTTTCTGGCCTAAGGAAAGTTTTTTTAAAAAAAATGTTGAAAGAGGAGGCTTGTTCCAGACCTACTAGCCATTTCCCCAGGATGTCCATCACCATCATGCTGCTTACATTCATGGACTGTACAGTACAGAGCGTCAGCTGTGGATCTTTGTTCTTCTCTGGCAAATTGCTTACTCCAGCCTTGGTGCTTCAGATTGCAGTGGGATCAGGGACACAGGACCAGCATATTCACTGGCATCAATGGAAACGTTCCTCCTTGGATCACAAGTTACTTTCAAACTGCTTTGTTTGACAGCCACTTCTCCAAGCTCAGCTCACCATTCCAAGGAACTTGGCCCCATCAGAATGCTCCAAGAGGCAGCCTATAAGGTGTTGAGCACCACGGGTGTGGCCTGCTGAGCCATCAGTCCATGCTGCAATTATTTTCGTAGAAAATGACAAAAAGAAAAAAGTCCTGCCTCCCGCTCCTCCCAGCCAGTCAGCACGTGTCCCCCTGTTGCTACTGTGGCTGGAGCAGGAACGCTGCCTTGATGTCTCCCAAAAGCGCCTGGCTCTCATGCCAAGAGGTTGCTGCCTTTCTGCCTCAGAAGCCTTCATTTTTTTCTACACTCAGCCAAGCCTGATGCCTGCTCATAATGGGGATTTTCATGTTGGTCCTTTTGGAAAGTACTTTTTTTATAACGACGTTCACCGGGAAAGAGACTTTTCCGCTAAGGGAGAGTGGGACAAGGGGGGCAGCTTAGGGAGGGTGAAGGCACAGTTACTTTGACGTGTTTTTAGTTTTCTTTTTCATTTGACCACTGCTGAAGGATGTTCTAATCTAAATAGCCGAAAAGCCCTTGGGGGTCATGCTTTACAGCAACGTTAAATTTTGTTAGCTGGGTGCAGAATCTGATGCGCTTTATTGACTTAGCCAAGGTTTGCACAATAAGGGATTAATTGGTACTTGACTGTTGTCACGGCCTGGCTTGTCATAGAAAGGAGTTCTGGAAATGAGGCTTTTCTTTTCAACACCTCCAGTAATTTCGTCCATTACTGTTTAGCCTTTTGTGGCCTCTGTACTTGCCAATTCCAAAACCTTTCTTGGAATGTTTTGACACATAGAATGTGATTCTCTGAAATCTGTATAAGGTCAACGTGGGGCGGCAGTGGCATCTACCATGTTTAAGTAGATCTGCGTCAACTCATCACGGCCAACTCCCATGGCCAAATCGCCATGGGATAATTCGCTGCAGGACAAGAGTTACACGGATATCAAAGAAATGGTGGACTAGAATAATTAAAGAAAGGATGCCAAAGGAGGGGCAAAATGAAATGTGAATGACAAAAATTAAATTATTTTTAAAATTATTTTAAAAATTAAATTGAATTGTTAAGTTGTCCTGCAGTGCATTGTCCCTTCGTGAAATGGCCGTGGCAAGTTGGCTGTGGTGAATTGTCCCATTCCAGTAGGTCGTAGGGGATGAAGACTAGCCTCTTCAGCTTCTGATCTACTACTGTGTTATTTCCCTTGAGGGTTCCTTCTGAACCATTGGACTTTAGCTAGTTAAGTGAAAGAAGACACAACCCACCCACCCCCACTGTCCAAAACAAAAGTCTGTACAGAAGAAGAGCCATCTGCCCAAGCTCCACCTGGAGCCTGTATTGCTGTTGTGTTCCACACCATTTTGGTCAATCCCTGCTGCTCATACTGAAGCAAACTGGAGGTACACATGGAAACAAAATTCAGCTAGGCAGGAGCCACTTTGGCTTCCTTATATATGGCTTGTTGCAGTTATTGCAGCAAGGAGGAGTATTTAAAACCCAGGCCCTGGAAGCATTTTCCGTCATGAATCATAGGTGAATGCAAAATGGTGAGTGATGCTTCCAAATGCAGGCAGTGGGACACACTTTTGGCTATCCCTGTATCTATAATAGCTTTCCTCAGACCTGTTTCAGATGTGTCTCAGCTACAAGTCCCATTGTCCAGAACCAGCATGATCCATTAGTCATGCAAATTAAGGTTTGTTGAATGTAGTCCAATATATCTGAGAGGTATTGACTGGGGAAGGCCAACTTGAAATGCAAAGGTATTAAGAGTTAAGCAGATCAGAAGAAAAAGTCACTAGGACAAGAGGCCTTTCAGATGTAACGAAGCTACAGTTCTAGGTACCCTGACCCAGATTATAAAAGCTGGAATTATTAGCTGTATTTGGGGGACTACGTCTTACTCCTGGACAAGGAGAAGCAAACCAAAAAGGCTCCCTTTCAAATTACCACTTGTTAAGGTAGAGACTAGTTTATTTCTGAATATCTTTATTTTGTTTTGGTATGCTAAACGAAGGTTGGAAGGAAAGATCAATGGCTACTATACGGTGTCTTCCATAAAGCCCCATTCCTTCATAAAGACATGGAAATTATATTCTTCTCCAAGCAACATTGCATTATATTTTATGTCAGGGCTCCATTAAGGCAGCTATCAAACAAATGAAGCCTTGGGAATTTTTCCTTATTGGAAACATCTTCACTTACCTACATTTTGGCTTCTCTGAAACCATTCAAAGTATTATTCCACCAGACAAAAGCACTGGTTACCTGCTCCATCATCCCAGTCCCAAGTACCTCTAAATGCTGAGTTTTTAGACTGTAAGTCAAATGCACAAACTAGCCTACAATAACTTCCTATGCAAAATCTTTCTTATATGGCAAATCCATTAATTGAAACAAACTTGAAAGCAGTGGTAGTAAAGGATTCAAACGAAGCTCTCTACAGCAGCAGTGACTTCCAGGGAAAAGTTTTCCACCTATTCCTGTGCCAGGTGGGACAGAATTGGAGGGAAAAGGTGTGCCACTCCATTCACGACCAAGGAAGTGTTAAACCTTAACTGTATTAAAGACTGAGAAACTGTCTTGTATGGGAAGCTTGATGTGAAGAGTTCAGCTTCTGCTTCATCACTGCAGCCAATTAATTTTTAGTGTCCTTCTGCTGTCTATAAAGAGCTAAGTAGCTGTTTTAACTGTGGAAAGGATGTATTTGACATGTCTGCTTTTTAATTTATTATTTTTTAAAGATGTATATGCATATATTTACAACTGAGCCCACCTTTCATTTCCTAGGCGATAAATTGCCACCGCCATTGTCCAGATCTAACATATGCCATTGTAGGTTCAAGGTTCTTGTCTTCTAATATGAATTCCCATTGATCCTATCCATTCTTTTCCTCTTCACTAGCTAGAACTTCAGCAGAACTCAGCTAAAGCCATGTACAGTTGTTTCCATAGTCTTGAGTAGCTGTGATGCATGCAGAAATTCAAGAAATAAATGCTTTCGTGTCACAGCCTCATCTACTGAATTGGAAATTGTAGTCTTTGAATTTCTGCTTGACAAGCAGCTGTTGAAATTGGTGGAATATTGCCAAGGAAGCAAACCTTACTTTTCCTTAAGAAGTCCAGTTTGGTGATAGGGAAAAGCATAGGAAGAGTTCTGATGATTTAATTTTTTTTGAAGGGACAAACTGTTTTCTTAATTCTTGATGGGTTACAGGCTTTTCCTTTGGTTTAGATATCTCAAGTGTATAGGGAGGGTTCTTAATGTAAATATAACAGAGATCACCCCTTTTCCTAAATAATAAAACCATAGCTCCGTGTAGGTGGCTCCATTTCAGTGCTTTGTCTATCTTTACCAGAAAATTGAGTAGGGAAAGGAAAGACCAAGAACCTGAATTGAACCGAAAGAGTTGAAACTATTAAGTTTCCTTGCTACTGGGCAGAGGCATTATGAAGGAGAATCTTAATTTCCTCTCTTCCAGGTATATAAACTACCCCCAATTCTTCTGATAATGATTTACCAATTATGAGAAACCCTTAATTTTTGAACATGAACCCTCTAATCAG